CAAGAAGTCTGAACTGTCTCTGGAGGAACAAGAAGTGTCCATATAAATTTATAGAAGTGACTAACCAGGTAAAAGAACACTTAAACATTCTACCATGAAAAGCAAGTTAGAGAAACATCAGGGAACAAGTAGGCAAATTTGTTCCTTTAGCAAATAGTGGGATAACCTAAATTTCCAAAAATTTACTCCTCGTTTTCTCTTCCTCTCCCACTTATTCTTGGGACCCAGAAACACAAACCATTAATACCACCACCAGTTATATTTCCAGGTTCCCTTCAAGCATGGAATATGCCAGTTCCTGAAATCTGTGCTGTCTGGGCACTCATCTCAAAATGACTGGCTATCACTTTTCTGAACAGCTCTCAGCCTAGGAATTTCTTTCCTTCCTTGGAGGCTGTACATCCAGGTAGTCCATGTTTCTAATCCCACTGCTGTATCCTACCAAACACCCGCCTGCTTTTTAAAAAAATATATTTTGTTGATTTCAAAGAGTAAGGGAGAGAGATGGATGATAGCTAGAAACATCAATGATGAGAGAGAATCATTGATAAGCTGCCTCTTGCACACCCTCCACTGAGGATCAAGCATGCAACACAGGCATGTGCCCTAACCGGCAATCAAACTGTAACCTCCTGATTCATAGATTGATGCTCAACCACTGAGCCACACTGGCAGGCCGGGCAAACATCCTCCTGCTTTTAATGTGAACATTCCCATGTCGATTTCAACATTAAAGCTCATTTGACCCAGCCTCTTCATTTTACAGGTGAGATAACTGAGACCCAAAGAGAGGAAGGGACTTATTCAAGGTCATACATCTCAGAGTGACAGAGCGAGGACTCACCCTAATTCCAAGTCAGACGCTCCTGCAGAAAGGACACTGTGTTGCATCTCCTTGGTGTTCCTGATCTGGATTTAGGCAGCCAATTATGGTCTAGAGCAGCGGTTCTCAACCTGTGGGTCGAGACCCCTTTGGGGGTTGAATGACCCTTTCACAGGGGTCGCCTAAGACCATCGGAAAACACATATAATTACATATTGTTTTGTGATTAATCACTATGCTTTAATTATGTTCAATGTGTAACAATGAAAATACATCCTGCATATCAGATATTTACATTACGTTTCATAACAGTAGCAAAATTACAGTTATGAAGTAGCAACGAAAATGGTTTTATGGTTGAGGGTCACCACAACATGAGGAACTGCATTAAAGGGTCGTGGCATTAGGGAGGTTGAGAAACACTGCCTTAGGGCTTCTTATGCCCATGGATTGGTGGTGGCTTTGAAGCTGGGTCAGTTCCTGCACCATGTTCTTTCTCAAGTGATTGTGGTTTGTTTGTTTTCCAAATGATCTACCTCTAATATTAAGAAAACAAATCAGACATAGTCAGAAAGAGCAAAAGAGAGGAATGTCACCTTTTCGCAGTCTGTGAATTCTCAGGCAAATCTTCCCAAGAAGAAAACAGTTTTAATTGCCTTCAAACCTTCCCCAAAGAAAGTGAGACCAAAGTAGAGCCTTTCCATTGTTTCTCTCTCTCTCTCTCTCTCTCTCTCTCTCTCTCTCTCTCTTTCTCTCTCTCCCTTTCTTTCTCCCTTTCTCTCTTTCTTTCTTCTTTTCTTGTATATGACATATAACTGGTTGAGTGCCTTTTGCTATGGCCCATGTCATTTCAG